ACATGACCTTTGGGAAGGCAAATGGAGAAAAGGAATAAAAGTCCTGTATTTTTGTGAGGCTTCCAGGTATTTTCAGGGTTTAACCATGGGCTTGTGATGCTCCTGTTCCTGTCAGAGGCATAAGGATGTCCTGTGTAGGAGGCAGGATCTTACATCAGATCCACTGCAGTGACTATGGGGAAATCCCTTCAGCTCCTGTCCAGGTGTTTTCAGGGCAGAGCAGCACAAGGGCCACATTAGGTGTGCGCTGCTGAAGGTGGTCCAAACATTTGGGGTTATGCAAACTTAGTAGCAGGAGCAGCAGGGAAGGCAGCTGTGGAGGGGAGGGATCCTGATCAGTTTTGTACCTGTGGATATTGTTTCTCAGCTCTGTGTTTGAAGCGTTCCCTTATACAGCTGTGATTGGAGCCAAATTTGGTGAGGATAATGCCTATTTAGTCTCATTCTAATGTTCTAGAGCGTGGCAGGATAATTACAGGAATGCTTTCCAAATTATTTACCTTGATTCCCAGTATTTACCCAGCAATCTTGCTCCTCACTCTACACAAATAACCACAGGGGGATTATATACAGTCATGGGACTGGTTTTGTGTTATCACATCCAGAATCCCTGTGACTGTATCCCTGTAGGTTTCTATCTAGGAAATCATGGTTTCTTTATTTGGAACAAACTCAATTCACAGCTGAGAAAAGCTCAGTCATGAAAACCGAGGGTGTCAGTAACAGCTTGGATTAGGGCAGAAACACGTAAAGGCATGTCCTAATCAGGTCTGACTTGCCAGGATTATAAATCGCGGAATGTGACCGAGGATGTGAAGAGCATCGTGCGGTTTGTGCGCGAGCACTGCGGGCAGGCAGGGCGGATCAACGGCAAGAGGAATCCAGGCTCTGGCAGGTACACCCTGAACATGATGGTGGACATTTTCCTAGGTGACTGTTCTCCCTGAAACTCCTGAACAACCTGGTGCACAAATCCCTGACCAGGAATCAAGAGGGTTGTGCAATGCCAGCAGGCGTTTAAAAAAATGTGTATTTTGCAAAGTTTATTTTCCCAAGAATCTCTTGGGTAAGTGATCCAAAATAAATGAAACTGAAGATTTAATCCATTTCAGGTTGCTATAGTGATAATATTGGTTTTCCAGTGTTTAAAGGCTTTTTTGAATGTGAATAGACTGCCTTGGGAATCTCCCACAGGCCTGTAAATGCATGTACATGGGCTTTGTGAGCACGGGCTCATCCTGTGCTTTCTGTTGCACAGGTTCAACGAGTGCCAAGATTCAGTCTGGAATATTTGGGAAGGGAGCTGCCTATTCCAGGCACAATGCTGAAAGGCTCTTCAGAAAACTGGTCCTGGACAAGATCCTGGATGAGGATTTGTACATCACAGCTAATGACCAGGCAGTGGCATATGTCATTCTGGGAGAGAGAGCTCAGGCTGTGCTGGATGGGTCACTCCAGGTGTGTAACTATTTAGTTTCTTGAAGGCATTGTTTTAAGGAAGGTGCTGCAGTTTTCCTTTAGCATATCCCCTCGGGTAGCTTAAACACAGTTTGCCTCCAGCTGAACTAACATCTGGTAGATGCAAGGAACAGAATCCAACACGTGTGATTCCTAGCCCAGTATTCTAGTAATAATGTTGTGGGGCAAAAAGTGAGTTTGAGAGGCTTGGAGAGGTCTAAATCTTTCTCTTCTTCCCTGCCCATCTGATTCCTGGACAGTGAAGGAAAGTTCTGACCTCCCACAGAAAGATGGCTAAAAAGAGAAAGAAAAAGAACCAGCACTCCCTTCTTCATTTTCTACTCTATTTTTTCCTAGTCATTGGTGGGATCTGATGGAATAGGCACTTTGTGAAGGTCATGTAAGAGTCCCAGGTTTCTTAAGGCAACACCTCTGCATCAGTGCTGTGTTTGGAGCAGGACAGAGCCCTCAGCATTACCCCAGTGACCTCTGTTTGAAGCCAGCTGGGAACTGGGCTCTTGGGAGGTTCTCCTTCTCTCTAAACTCTGCCAGCTCTTTGTTGAGGAAACAGGGGTGTGGTTGAGGGGCCTGTAAAAACTTACGTTAAAAACGTGTGCTGGGTGAACAGCTTTTTTTGGTCCATCAGAGGATACTCTGTGTTTCCTGCGCTGTGTCCCTGTGTTACCAGTCAGGGTGTGCAGGAACCCTGGCAGCAGTTATGGATGGCTGGTTTTAACAGGTGGAGTTCCACGAGACAGAGAGTGCCAGTGCCATCAGAAGGCAAAGGGCTTCCATGGCAAAGATGTCCCAGCGGGAAGAGATGGTGAAACAGTGCCTCAGTGAACTTACAGACACCTGCAAAACCCTGGGCAAGGTCTTTGACGTGCATTACTTCAATATTTTCAGTACTTCCACCCTAAAGAAAATAGCAGGTAAGGTCAGGTTGCTCAGAAGTCCATTGGGGCTTCTGCATAGAGGGGCACAGAAAGGAATTAATTTCTTTCAGGGTATCTTTATAAAAAGTTATTTGTTTGACGTGTCTGAGGGGTACTTTGCTGTGCTGCAGAAACCTTGTCTTCAGACGTGGAGGTATTGCTGCAGATCGATGGTGTCACAGAAGACAAACTGGAGAAGTACGGTGCAGAGATAATTAAAGTGATGGATAAGTACTCAGAACGCTCCATCCCAGGTGTGCTTTGTACCTCAGTGTGTGCTTCTGTTCAGTGCCTTTCTCTCCTCCTCTAGCAGAAGGTTGATTCAAAAGTTACCATGATTTAATCACAAATAACTAATTCTTACAGTTCAGTAATTCCAAAAGGGGGCAATCACTTTCAGAACACACCAAAGTCCTTCTGCCTTCCCACTAGAGATAAATTCAGGGTGTATCCAAAAGACTGGGGATGGGGCAGTGCAGAGGAGGTGAGGAGCAGCCTGGACAGATGTTCTGACACCACCAGTGTGTTCTGGTGCCTGACTGAGTTAGTTTTCCCTCCTTGCCTGTGTAGAAGATGCTGCCTGCCCGGGTGGGGACACAGCCACGGGGAGCACGGGCTCTCTGGGGAGCGATGGAGAAGCAGAGGATGCAGGTACAACCTCCAGCTATTTTGGCAATAACACAAACCAGAGGAGGAAAAGGAAGCGGCTGCCGACCTCCAGGGACTCCAAGAGGAAAAGGACGAGTGGTGGTGGCAGCCAGCAGTTCCACCCCAGAGGGTACGTGCCTGGGGTCACTTGTCACTTCTCTCTGCACAGTGCTGCTCCCAGAGCTGCAGTTATCCCACTGCAGATTCTGAGCATGGGCTTAAATAATGGTGTTGAAATTGTCTGGGTGCCTGGTCAGAGCTGCTCTGCTGTGCTTTTCTGCATGTTTGCTTTTAAAGCTGGTAGGAAGGATATTTAGCAGTTGTCCTCACACTTGACTGCTGCAGGCTAAGCAGGGAACACTACATTTCAGTAGCATTAGCAGGTTCCTTGCTTGAAATCATAAACAGGTATTAAAACTTTGAGCATTTGATGGAATAATTGAACTTCAGCCCCTTGTTAATTCAGATTCTCTTTCTGACTGTATCATGCAAAGCAACACCTGCATCTGCTGTTGGTTGGTCTTGAGCTTCTCGGGCAGATCTGCCACTTCCCAAGGATTTCCCCTTCTCTGCCCCAGTTCTCATCATTCTGCTCCCTGGTTTTTGTAGCAAATGGTTTTCCCAGCCCAGCAGGTTTTGTCCCACCCTTGGCACTTTCCCATCCACTGGGTTATCTGTCATTAGCTCTGCTGCCTCTGAAGTGTCACTTGCTGTTGCTGCTCACCCTTGGGTACATCCCAGAGCAACAGCTGTACTCTTTGCATTTCAGAGGTCGTTTTGCAGCCATGAGTGTTTAAAAAAAAAAAATACAAAATGAGTGTGTAGTCCTCTAGAAAATGCAGTGGTGGTGGCCGTGTGAGCACAGACTGGTGCAGGGGCCAGGGCAGGTGCCACAGGTGTCTCACACACACCTTCTCTGATTTTTGCAGTGGCTACAGCAGGTACAGAAGGACCAAGAAGCTGCCAAGTTCAAAGGCTCCAGCTTCCTCCGGTGGCAGCTCCGCGTCCTACAGCGTTGGTGGCACACAGGGAGCTGCTGGGAAGCTGGCCATGATGGCACTGCCCAAACCCAAATCCAGGAGCTTTCTTCAGCCTTCGTATTCCATATTTTAGCTGGGAAATGCAATTACTGGATGAATTTCCCGAAGATGGAATCACTGTTTATTAAATTTTTGTTTCGTTTGCTGCTGCTGAGCCTTCTGGGACTTGTGTGTTTGTCGAGTATGAAAGCTCACATTAAATAAGTATTTTTTAACTTGTCAGTTTATTTGGGCCTTTCTACTTGTGAGTGGTTATAGAAACTCTCCTGCTGGTGACACTCCTCCCTGTGATCCTGCTTTACAGCCCTCTCAGGGACATGATCAAGACCGCAAATGCTGGGGGCTGCATGTCCCCAGAGCTGTGGCTGCCTGTGTCCTCGCTTGCTCCTGCCTCAGTGCTCCAGAGCTGGCAGCTCTCTGCTGCCTCTGGAAAGAACAGGTTGGGAAGGAAAATGAGTGTTTCTAACTTTCCTGTTTGATTCCCCACATCCTGGAGCTGGGAGTGTCTAACCCTGCCCTGGGTGTGCTTTTTTTTCAGTTACCGTTGTTTTATTTTTAAGCCGAGATCTTGTCAGTTCTGCGGGCCTGCCCTTGGCCCAGGCACGGTGTCGGTGTGAGGGCGGCTGTGCTCCGGGCAGGACGGGCCTGGAGCCCGGCACTTCATCCGCTCTTCCTGGGCAACGAGTCCGCACGGCAGGGCTTGGCAGGGACCTTAAAGCGCATCCCTGCCGTGGCAGAGACACCTTCCACCAGCCCAGGCTGCTCCCAGCCCCAGTGCCCAGCCCGGCACCGGGCACGTCAGGGCCGCAGGGGCAGCCGCAGCCGCCCCGGGCCCGCTGTGCCAGGGCCCGCAGGGAGGCACTTGGCGGGCCGGCGGCAGCGCGAGGGCG